CTATAAATTCAAGTGTGCCTGTAAATTCTATTTGATCTTGCAGTTCACTCATTCTCATCTCACCTTTGTCTAACCTGTTCTTTAACTTATTTATTAGGTTTTTTCTCTACGACTTTGTTGATGTATTCTTTACATACAATAAGCTGCACATTCTTAAAATGTTCAATTTGGTAACTTGACATGTACCTGTGTATATGTCCATGCACACATCACTACAATCAGGACACTAAGGCTATCTGTCATCCCCCTCCCCCAGAGTTTTCTCCTACTTTGTAATCATTTCTTCCTCTTTCGGCCTACCCTCCCAGATTCCCAGGCAACCACTCATATACTGTTACCATAGATCGGTTTGCATTTTCTAGAATTTTATATGATAAAATCAGCTCTTGAAGCCATTTTATAAGGAATTCTCAGGTTGGTATATCTTGTATAACATAAGAAGTCTGCATTAGGGCTTCAGAGGTGTGAGGGCTGACCTTGCAGTTTAGAATCGTAAGGGGACAACATCCTAGATGTTTATGTTATTTTCCAGTTCACCGTTTGTAGCCTGGATGGTCCTGGCTTTACCTGAGGATCTCTGAACCAGCTTCTCATTTTATAAAAGCCGTGGTTCTATCCTCTGTCCCCTGTAAATTATTAAAACCAGAGTTCTGTGTCACTGGAGGCCTGCAGATACTCTCAGGTGACTGCTACCCTTACTACTCCCTTAAACACTCAAGGTTTATGCTCCCAATTTGCCTTTGGCCTTGACACTTACTTCACCTTCTTGAGAATTCAGTCATATATTTGAGTTATTAAAGTTTTATTTAGGTCTTTTTTTTAGTAGTAGGGGAGATTTTTTAAAGGATGTTTAGTCAACCTTATTCCAGAAATGGAATTCAGTTTAATATCTTTAAGCTTAGGAGCAACATTCAAGACTTCCTCTGTGTTTCATCCATGGTAGCACTCAAATATAACTCAAATCACTAGTGCCTGTGAGGCTGCATTGCAGTCTCCTTGGGCTTTTGTTTAAAAATTTGTATTTCCCTGGTCTCACCTCAAAAATAAGAATTAGAATTGTCCTCTGGGTGTAAAGCCTAGGAATCTGAAGTTCTAAAGTTTTAAAGTCCTTAGGTGGTTCAAATCCTCAGCCAGGTTTGTGAGCCATTGTGCTCTGATACTTGAAATAGTGCCATTTGCTCAGTAAAATCTTTTATGTCCTTCAATCATCAGTGGTATTGTTTTCTTCAAACAAGAGCATTTTTATACTAGTATGCATTTCATTTTCTGGACATACCTCTACACTGTACAGCTGTAAGTTTTGTTCAGTGATGAATTCAAGTTTCAGGTCCATTTTCCCATATGGTCTTTGTTGACCTCAGCCATCGCTGCAGTGTGTATGCCAGAGGAGCTGAATGATAGGCAAGAAAGTGTTTTCTTTGGTACATCCCTCTGAGGAAAAAACTAGGCATCTGCTCGTCCCTCACTGAAACATGAAGTGTGATTTTGTTGTTAAAGCCCACAGTCCAGAAGCCTGTGGTGCTGGCCCTCTGCAGACCAGCACCTGCCCCAGCTCTCCTGGCCATCCCTGCTCTGTGCGGTTTTCTGCCTCATTCATCACACCAGTGCTATCATGTGAGGTGATTGGTCTCATATTATATTTAGCAGCAAACCTTTCTCTGACTTGTAATATGCAAATGTTATTAATCAGATGCTGGCTTTGCAGCTGTTGTCTTTTTTCAGACCCCAGCTGATTTCACTAAACTGAAGATGTCTTCGTGTGAAGGATTAAAATGGAATCTTGAGTTACTACACTATTAAAGCCAGCTCAGTGCAAAGTTTAGACACTGTGTACTATGTGAAACCCGTGAGGAAATGGTGGCCATTTCAATGAGGCCAGTAGATACTGAGCCTGCTTTTTTTTTTTTAACTAAAATTTAAATTTTGAGTAAAAGGAGGCAATTTTTTCTGTGGTCTATCATCTCAGCACAAGAGCCTTGTTTATGAAGTTATTGTAAAGATGTGGTATCATGAGAGTGCTGTTTGATGCTGTTTTCTGAGCAAACAGATTTAACCATATCATTTTGCTTTAATGTAAAGAGGTTTTAGGGACTCGTGTATGTGTTTTAACATGCTTTAATCACCTGGTGCCAATCCCTTTAAGATGGCCTTAAGAAGAGTCATACCAGGTTGTAGAGGCTTTGCGAACCGTCTCCCCTAGTAGCTACTGAGTCACCGCGAGCATTGCGCCGGGGAGAGGAAAAAGGAAAAGTGTGGTCAGGATGCACAGTAATCAGCTAATTACCTTTGTCTCCTTTTTACTTGGTTTCCTTTCTTACACAGGGAGTAAAACACACCTGGAAGTCCAGTTACTTCTTTTTCTTCCTCCCGCCCTTCCTTTTCTCTCTCTCCCTTCCTGATGTGAGTGGGTCAGGAAGCATGGATCCGCGAGGCCGTGGAGTAATGAACCTAACACTCTTAAGGTTGCATGAATCACAGCTCATTTTGCAGTTTCCTTTCACAGGACACTCAAAGGGGGGATTAAGCATATCTAAAAATTACACATACCATGGATCAATACATTTCATACCAGTCACAATGGATGGTTCCAGTCTAAACTGTCCCAAACAGCCTCTCGTCTGTCCCAAGTGAAAACCATGCAGTGGAGACAGTTCCAGTGGAGTGGTGAGTCAGTGACGGAGCAGGAGCACACGTCTGTGGTTCGACGTCAGGGACCTGGAGAACGAGCTTGCCACAGGGGTTCTGTGTCCAGTCGCTCATATAGTCCAGTGCATCCATTCGGGGATCGAAGATAAGAGGGACAGTCCACATGTGGCATCCAGCTCGGGCATTCACCGGAGCGCCTGACGTATGGAGTTACCTGGTTTGGGCGTTCACCGGCAGGCTTTTTAGGGTGGGTATGTTAACAGAGGCAGTCGGTGCGAAAGCAGGCAAGCCTGATGTAAGCAACTTCTTATTGGAGACCTGACATAGCAACTCCATGAAGGATGCACACACATCACTTCCTTTCTTCCTTTTATCCATTTCTTTACATATTTTTTGAGTGTCTTTTTATAGAACTGTTTTAAGTCCTTGCCTGCATGGATTTTACTTCTAGGTATAAAAAACAGAAAACAAATAGACCAGCTTATGTAAGCATTTGTAGGTCATAGAAAGTATTTTGGATTTTATTCCAAAGATGATAGGAAGCTATTGGCTGGTTGAGAAAAGAAAGTGACAGACAGGATCTGATTTACTTTCTAAAAGGTTCATTCAGACCATTTTGCGGAGCCTTAACTGTAAGGGTGGGAGCAGTAGTGAAGGTGACCAGTCAGGTGAGAGGTTACCAGTGGTACTGGTATCACAGATCAATATAGAGGAATATAGAGTTGTATTTAAATTTCAAATCTAGAGTCTATAGGATTTGCTGACAGTTGGTTACAGAGTGTGAAAAAGAATGAGATCAAGGATAACACCTAGGTTTTTGACCTAAATAAGCCAGCAAATGAAGGAGCCATTTACTGACATGGGAAAGGCATGGGGAAAAGCAGGTTTGGAGTGGAAGACTGGAGAATTGAGAGGACATGTAATGTTTAGGTACCTGTTAGACACCAAAATGGGGATGGCACCCATGCAGTTGGAAATCCAAGTCTGGAGTTACAGGCAGAAAGAAGTCAGGGTAGGCATATATGTGTGGAGTCAATAATCTGCAGATGATGATTAAAACTGTGGGGGAGAGAGAATATCACCCAGAAGCTGAGCAGATGGTGAAGAAAAGAATTTACCACTCAGACCTAGGGCACTCCAGCATTTAGAAGTGAAGAAGAGGAGATCCTGCAAAGGAACCCAAGAAAGAGAGAAAAAAAGAGTATTTCATGGAGAAGAGAATGGTCAACTATATTAAATACTATATGAGGGGTCAAGGAAGAGGAGGATGAAGATCTAACCACTGGATTTAACAATGAGGAGGTGGTCTTTGGTTTTAATGGAGTGATGAGAACCAAAATCCAGTTTGAGTGAGTTCACAAGAGAATGGAACTAAACAAGTAGTAGCAGTTGGACCTGGATGACTCTTCTGAGGAGTCTTGCTGTTGAAAGGAGCAGAGCAAAGGGGATGGAGTTGGAGGAGATAAGAGGTCAAGGGAGGTCTTTGTCATTTTTGTTTAATAAAGTTCATCCTTTGTCAAAATTAAATAAATAGAAGGCAGAGTATATGGGCACAGATGCTGGCAGACCTAATTGTAGGAGAATAAAGTTCTCTTTTGATTGCTTATATTTTATTCTCAGGAAAATAAGACACAAAATCATGAGCTGAGAGTGATGGAAGAAGGGGAGGGAGCATATTGAAGTTTGAGAAGTAATGAGAAGATGTGAAATAATTATTTTGAAGAGTGTTTTGCCTCATATTCATATCTTTTTAGACACTGAGATAACAGTGTAATCTCAGGAATACCAAGTATTCATATGGATGTTCTGCTAAAAGCAACCAGAATAGGAATAGTTCAGGCCAAAAATCATTAAGCATAGCCAGAGTGCACTCTGATTTGTTCAGGGAATTTATAAAAGTCATTTGATAAATTCCAACTTTTAAAGTTTTTGAATAGCTAATATATTTATCAAGTTCAAAATGCAAAAGGAATAAATGTGTAGGCAATAGATAGAGTCTCCTTTCCTTGGCCTCCCTACCATCTAATGCCTTTACTTGGAGTCTGTCAGTAATAACATTTTCTTGGGTCTCTTTCCAGAGATACTTTATTTATCCATTTTTTAAGAACTAAATAACTGTTAGGATTTTTAAAAATAATCCTTATTCTAGTTAAATTAATCATTTAAAAATGTTATTTATATTCCTTTGTCCTCTTTAATTTATACAAAAATAATTTCTAAAAAGAACAAGAAAGAGTTTGTTTTAATACTGACTTCATAATGTTGTCAGCCATCTGGCAGGATTGTATCTGTTAGATTTTTCTTAAGAATTATGTATATTTAACAAGATTCTTTTTCCTTCTTTGTCTTCACAGCTGATCTAGCATCTTTAATGGATAAAACATATGAGAGAAAGTTGCCTGTTAGTTCTTTAACAATATCACGGGTAAGAAAACTTAAATATATATATATTTTCAAAGAGGGGGAAGAAAGCAAAAAAGTCTCCTTGCATAGATGAGGCTGTGCAAATAAGGACTGTCTTTCATAGGAAATATATTTCCAAAGTATTGTATGCTTTATAGTTCCTGTTTTACAGTAAAATAGCAAATCTCTTTGACTGAAACTAAAAGATGATAAATTTCCAGACTCCAGTGTCAGTGATTACTGTTGTGTCTGATTTATTTTCATTTTCCAGGATGTGATATTCTGCTATATAATACCATGATTTGTTTTTATGTTTCTATACCCTTCAAAGTAATAGAATTCACTTGTTAACATTGGAAGAAATTTTGATAGCTCAGAAATTCTAAGAAAGAATAAATATTAATGGACTCATAGTTTTCAGACAGGAGGGAAACTGAAAGACCACTGGCTCATCCCTCTCATCATGGATACAATCTCTGTATGCCATAACACCTGATGTTTGTTTAGGTGGAACTTCAGAGTTTAAAGTGCTTTGTCATGTACACTTTCTCATTGACGCCTCATACTCTTCAGTGCAGGTGCCTTTATTCTGTTTATGCAGATGGAGCAACCAGGTTGCAGAGGGGCTGTGCCGTCTGTTCATGCCACACAGCATACAGTCAGAAGAGCTAGTTCTCAACTTCAGGTCTTATGTTTGAACCACATTTTATCTGCCCCCTTAATAAGATTTCTAAATCAAACCCATAAGTTATAGGCATTTTTAGAAAGTCTTCCCCTATTTACTCTTCTCTCCCTCTTCATGAGGTTTTTTTTTTTAATTTAGGTATCATTAATCTACAATTACATGAAGAACATTATGTTTACTAGGCTCCCCCCTTCACCAAGTCCCCCCCACAAACCCCATTACAGTCACTGTCCATCAGCATAGTAAGATGCTGCAGAATCCCTACTCGTCTTCTCTGTGTTGTACAGCCCTCCCCGTGCTCACCCTCACATTACACATGCTAATCGTAATGCCCCTTTTCGTTTTCCCCGACCTTATCCCTCCCTTCCCACCCATCCTCCTCAGTCCCTTTCCCTTTGGTAACTGTTAGTCCATTCTTGGGTTCTGTGATTCTGCTGCTGTTTTGCTCCTTCAGTTTATTCTTTGTTCTTATACTCCACAGATGAGTGAAGTCATTTGATACTTGTCTTTCTCCGCCTGGCTTATTTCACTGAGCATAATACCCTCTAGCCCCATCCATGTTGCGAATGGTAGGATTTGTTTTTTTCTTATGGCTGAGTAATATTCCATTGTGTATATGTACAACATCTTCTTTATCCATTCATCTACTGATGGGCACTTAGGTTGCTTCCATTTCTTGGCTATTGTGAACAGTGCTGTGATAAACATAGGGGTGCATATGTCTTTTTCAAACTGGGCTCCTGCATTCTTAGGGTAAATTCTAGGAGTGGAATTCCTGGGTCAAATGGTATTTCTCTTTTGAGTTTTTAGAGGAACCTCCATACTGCTTTCCACAATGGTTGAACTAATTTACATTCCCACCAGCAGTGCAGGAGGGTTCCCCTTTCTCCACAACCTCGCCAACATTTGTTGTTGTTTGTCTTTTGGATGGTGGCGATCCTTACTGGTGTGAGGTGATATCTCATTGTGGTTTTAATTTGCATTTCTCTGATGACTAGTGATGTGGAGCATCTTTTCATGTGTCTGTTGGCCATCTGAATTTCTTCTTTAGAGAACTGTCTATTCAGCTCCTCTGCCCATTTTTTAATTGGATTATTTGCTTTTTGTTTGTTGAGGTGTGTGAGCTCTTTATATATTTTGGATGTCAACCCTTTATTGGATCTGTCATTTATGAATATATTCTCCCATACTGTAGGATACCTTTTTGTTCTATTGATGGTGTCCTTTGCTGTACAGAAGCTTTTCAGCTTGATATAGTCCCATTTGTTCATTTTTGCTTTTGTTTCCCTTGCCTGGGGAGATATGTTCAAGAAGAGGTCACTCATGTTTATGTCTAAGAGATTTTTGCCTATGTTTTTTTCTAAGAGTTTTATGGTTTCATGACTTACATTCAAGTCTTTGATCCATTTCAAATTTACTTTTGTGTATGGGGTTAGACAGTGATCCAGTTTCATTCTCTTACATGTAGCTGTCCAGTTTTGCCAGCACCATCTGTTGAAGAGACTGTCATTTCCCCATTGTATGTCCATGGCCCCTTTATTGAATATTAGTTGACCATATATGTTTGGGTTAATGTTTGGAGTCTCTATTCTGTTCCATTGGTCTGTGGCTCTGTTCTTGTGCCAGTACCAAATTGTCTTGATTACTGTGGCTTTGTAGTAGAGCTTGAAGTTGGGGAGTGAGATCCCCCCTCCCACTTTATTCTTCCTTCTCAGGATTGCTTTCGGTATTCGGGGTCTTTGGTGTTTCCATATGAATTTTTGAACTATTTGTTCCACTTCATTGAAGAATGCTGTTGGTAGTTTGATAGGGATTGCATCGAATCTGTATATTGCTTTGGACAGGATGGCCATTTTGACAATATTAATTCTTCCTAGCCAGGAGCATGGGATGAGTTTACATTTGTTAGTGACCTCTTTAATTTCTTTTAAGAGTGTCTTATAGTTTTCAGAGTATAGGTCTTTCACTTCCTTGGTTAGGTTTATTCCTAGGTATTTTATTCTTTTTGATGCTATTGTGAATGGAATTGTCTTCCTGATTTCTCTTTCTATTAGTTCATCATTAGTGTATAGGAAAGGAACAGATTTCTGGTATTAATTTTGTATCCTGCAACTTTGCTGAATTCAGATATTAGCTCTAGTAGTTTTGGAGTGGAGTCTTTAGGGTTTTTTTATGTACAATATTATGTCATCTGCAAATAGTGAGAGTTTGGCTTCTTCTTTACCAATCTGGATGCCTTGTATTTCTTTGTTTTGTCTGATTACCGTAGCCAGGACCTCCAGTACTATGTTGAATAACAGTGGGGAGAGTGGGCATGCCTGTCTTGTTCCCAATCTCAGAGGAAAAGCTTTCAGGTTCTCGCTGTTAAGTATGATGTTGGTTCATGAGTTTTTAATTATATTCAGAACATGCATTTTTTCCTACTCTGTCCATTTTGCCTTAGTCTCTTCTTTAGGGTAGAATCCATTCTTGGAATAGTCTTTCCTGTTTGTTTCTTTGAGAGTTAAGGAACATACTCAGGGATTTTATTGTCCAAAGGAAGACTTTGTTGGTAGAAGAATCACGGTTTGACCAGTCTGTAGCAGCACCCAAATCAGAGTAGGGAAAAGGTTACAAGCCTGCATTCTCTGAATTCAGATTTTTATCTCTTTGGCCATACTTTATAGAGTCTTCATCCTTTCAGCTATGTGTTCCCATAGGAACTTGGAACATGTAGAAAATATCAAGATTTAAAGATAAAGGGAAATATTGATGACTAATTTTAAATATAGTAACAGGAGCTTTCTCTTGTTCTAAGTAAGGTTCATATTTGGTTTTCAAGTAGTTTTTCTAACCAAGGTTTTTCTACGTACAGAAAATGAGAAGTCACTGTATATTCTTTGTTTGTATTACCATAAAAAGATTTCAAGGATGGAGGCACACCGTGTGAACTCTGTTCCAATAAAATGGGTGTTTTGTCATTTTTTAACGTCAATGTGAATTAGGCCCAATACATGGCATAATTTGTATTCAACTGAAGATTTCTTTTTCTTTCTTTTAGTTTGTGGACAACATTTCATCTCGAGAAGAGATAGACCATGCAGAGTATTATCTTTATAAGTGAGTTTTCCATTTCATTTATGTATATATGTATTCTCTTATTTCACATCCCTTTTAAAGTTTATGATTTGGAGGTCTTTCCATATCAGTACAGAGAGAACTGCCTCATTTTTTATAATTGCATCATATTCCATATTATGAATATATTACCTAAACCAGCTCCCTCTGTAGGATGTTTAGGTTGTTTGCGCTGTCTTTTTGTATTATATACAATGCAATAACTAACAACCTCATATATAAGTGAGTTTGCACCTAATTCTCATAAGTATATACATTTGTCATTTCAACAGCTGTTGCCAAATTGCTTTCCATTGAGGTTTCACCAGTTTATATTCCCACCAGCAGTGTATGAGAGAGGCCTGTTTTTAACAGTTTAGCCAACAGAGGTATTTTCACACTTTGGATTTTTTGTCAGTCTGGTAGGAGAAAAATTATGTATCTATCTCTTCTTCCTTTTTAAATTCAAATGGTAATGCATTCTATATATACACACTATTTGGCACCTGTTTTCAGTTAGTACTACATTTTAAAACTTTCTGCATTACCACATTTACTTCATTCATTCTCACAGTTGTGAACAATCTCACTGTTAACTACAGACACACTTACCCACATGTACAAAGTTATATGGTTAGTACAGCACCATCAATAGTACAAATGACTAGAATATCTAAAGCTCATTAAATAAGGGACTGGTCAAATAAATTATGATTTATTCTTATACTTGATTTCTTATCTCTCGAATATCAAAATGGTACCTTATAGCTTTTTATTGTGATTTTAAAAATCTGATTAATGATTTGTTCCAGTTTTTAGATTATAAAAATAGATTGAAATCTAAAATGTTTCCAGTAGGCATTGCATTAGAATATCCCATTTGATCTTAGTTTGTTTTGATTGTATTTCAGTTATTTCCATCTGGGTACATTTTTTTCATTTCTTTTTTTTTAATTAATTTTATTTGGGTATCATTAATCTACAATTACATGAAGGACATTATGTTTACTAGGCACCCCCCTTCACCAAGTCCCCCCCACAAACCCCATTACAGTCACTGTCCATCAGCGTAGTAAGATGCTGCAGAATCCCTACTCATCTTCTC